ATACTGTCTGAAACTAAGATTTACATGCCAGACAAGTGACACAAATTAAATCCCTGTATTAAAAAGAATCCAGGAAGAGACTAGAGTGACTCAGAAGACTGATAATGTGAAACTGAAATATTCAAATCTTGGCAACATGCCTGAATTTAAATGTGATTAAGTGCTGTGATCAATACACGACACATGTTTCAGGTTTAAAGTAAGGGCCTATATATGCATTTCTAAGCCACAAACTTTCAGTGCAAAACTGGTGACTAAATAAGCTTCAGACAGAGGATACTTTTCCGAAAAGGCGGTGTTTCATGCTGAAGCTGAAAGGCAGCTACATACATCTCCCCCTCAGTCTCTCCCTATTACTTCTGGGGAACAACAGAGAACTTTGTTCTCCAGGCCTGTCAACAAAGAGAAACTCAGCTGATGTTCTCTCTCTTATGCTTACAAAACAGACTCATGTGTAAGGCAATCTATATTCACAACAGAGGCAATTCTTTCGCTTTTTTACCCAATAAATACTCTTGCAGGTTACAGAGCCAAAGAGGGGCCTCACAAACACTGCCATAGCAAGGACTTGGCAAGCTTGAGTGGGACTGGTGATATATGGGAGCACTTATTTAATGTGGTGAAGCCTAGTTTTCGTCTGAGGTGTATGTTGTATCCATTACATTAAATGGCCTGCCAGGGAGAGCTAAGCATGAAGCAAAGTTGCTACTTCCAAGTCAGCCGTATGCAATGGGAATTTCTTATACAATTATTTACACTCAGATCCCATCTCCCTGTGGCTCTTGATGAAAATGCGTTTCATAGTGTGTCACATGGATGCCTTGCTCAGAAACTGTTTTCTTTTTCTGACAAAATAAGTTAAATTCTCAGATAATTCCCTGCTGCACCTTAATCTTTTTCAAAGTAGAACTCCCTTTTCCCCTTTCCCCTCAGATTTCTCTTCTCTGGGAAAAAGGACTACAATCACAGTTTTACTCTCTGTGAAGGCAGAGAAGGAACAGACATGGACAGATGTCAGAGAGTGAACACAGAACAGAGCTTTTCCAAAACTTCTGTTACTGGTCACTTCATCAACTCTATTGAAAACTTGTACTCTTCAACCCCATCAATTCTTTTCTCTCTGTCCTGAGATGATTAGTAAAGATACCGGGTGTGCAATAGCCTATTGTGCTCAGAGAAGAGTAAACAACTGCTTTCACTCACTTATGAATCTATTAAGCAAACAGAGCCTCTTATTAAGGAAAAGCATACAAACAAAAAAACCCCAAACAAATGAAGAAACAAACAACCACAAAAACAACCCAAGTTTAAATGCAGTGTAAGAGAAACCAATCACAATGGGAGAATCCAGACAACATCCTACTTAAACTTAATACTAGAATGCTCCAATGACTAAGAAGGGATAAATGCAAACATTTCTCAAATCTTTCCCAGTGTAAGAATCAAATGTGGCATCAGTAACTCAGACAAGGATATTATCATTCAAGTTTGCAGACTATAGCATGCATAATATGATCAGCTTTGAAAAGGGCAGCTTAAAACAACAACTCTGCTTTTTCCTTTATGACCTTCCTTTCTAAAATAGTGTTCAACTCTACCTTCTCAAGCACCATCTCAACAGAGATACTAACAAAATAAAGAGACACAACAAAAGCACAAGCTCATTACAGTGTCCTTTCCTCTGTGCTAGCATTACTTATATATTTTTTGCTTTCCCTGAATTTTCAGCATTTAAGCTGCCCTTGTGGCCAGGTCTGAGTCCACTTTTAGGATCCACTTGGTTATTTAAGAGAGATATAGATAGCAAAATCTTTACTGTCATTCTGCTCACTACCTTAACCAACAAAAAGAGTCCAGGACTCAAAAATACTGAACAAAAGGAATCTGCTGGGGCAAGAATACACTATCATTAAGAAATTTGAAGAAGGACTTGGAGAAACTGTTTCATGAAAAAAAAAGAAAAGAAAAAAGAAAGATTTCTCTTTACAGTAATTCTTTCACATTATTCCGCAGTTCCTGTTCAGTTAATAAATCTGTGCAAGGAAAAACACATGTGTTTAGCACAACCATTTTTGCCAGCAGACAAAAAACCAGCTTGGCACTTGCTGAATAGACCACCAACTGCAGCAACAGCACTTTACTACATGGTAGTGTACATAGTGCCAGCTGAGAAGGGAGACTGAGGAAAAAAGGAGAAGCAATGCTGACTGTAACAACCTTGACAGTCAGATAGGGCCAGTTCTATAATTTATGAGATAGGCATAAGACCACTCCATACAATCCTCCTACTGTGTAGAGCTTTTCTTCCTGACCTGTTCATTGAAGTAGTGATTCTCAGTCCATCTGTTTTTCCCTTTTTGTTGGAAGCTGAAAATGGCCCTTTGAGGAGCAAAGCTTGGAGTCACAAGCAGTTGTTTGCTTTGTTTCTCACGCATCTAGACTTGTGTAGCAAAACAAATGTCTGAGATCTACCCTAGAACTCTTTTTCTGGTAAAGCAGCAATGAGAGCACACATTTCAGCTGAGATCAGCATCATCTTGTCATTTGACAACTGCTTCTTGGTCAGAGTCCAGTTAAGTAACTGTCACCACACAGTACCCAGCAAACAGAGCAGCATATATAGGTGTGCATACCTCAGCCTGGTGTCTACACAAGCAAGTTTACAAGTTCTAGAGGAGTTTGTGACCCCGTCACAACTAAAGGATCTCAATACATTCTCAATTCCTCAGTCTTCTCCTTTTGCAAAATGGACGATTCCAACTTTATTTTTATAATGTTAATTTAAAGATTGCACGAACAAGAAAAGACCCACAAAATGTAAATTTTTCTCCAAAAGGCAAGGGCAAGCATAGTGAATATTTACTAGACTGGAAAACTCATCACAAGAGAGGTTTATCGAGCACAGCCAGGTTTAGCTCTTCATGTCATTAGCTCCTATATAGGACAATGTCCCAGATTTTGACTGCAACAAGGGGAAAATAGGGCTTTTAAAAATTCATTCAAACAGACCAATATGTTTCATTATACCCTCTGCAGACCAGATGGCAAGATGAGGATATATCCTCTGGGCCTGCTTCAGGCAGCTAACGCAAATGCTTTTCTCACTGCAGATCTCAGATGATGTTGGTGTCATCATTTCACTTGGGGATTTGGGTCAAAAGGCTTTACACTTAAATCTGCTTTTTATATAGTACAAATGCACCAGACTAGACCCTGACGGATAAGCAGTGGGGAGGCTGGTACGCAGCACAGAGCTCTCGCAGGCACTTCCAGGTCGCTGACTTATACCGGCCCATTTACAGACTGAATCTTGCTAATCCAATTAAAATCTCATCTGAGCTGTCAATATAAATGTAGCCTGTTTTATTTGAGTGTCTCATAGAACGTGCATTAATCTGGGCAAACCATCCCCGCTGGGCAAATTCTGCATTCTGCCAGACCAATTTCTTTTTTGGGTTCTACCACTCCTATAGCCTTTACTAATCTAACATTACCTGCCTACACAGGAACTCCTCCTATTGGCATGTATCATCATCCTATCTGAGTGCTTTATAAAATGCGGCATATACAATCAAGCTTCTGAAAAGCAGCACTTTTCTCTCTCAGCTCACTTCTCATGTAACGATGAGTAGGGAACTGTCATTAAATACAGGAATAAGAATTTGATCCATTTTTATTTCAATGGCTTCATTTGTTTGAAATACATATGCCAGTTACAGGCTGTCAGCACATTTACTAAGTTATAGCATAGCCTAATAACTCACAAACTTTTAGGGCCAAAATTTTTTTGCAGATTGTCATGTAGACTTGTCATTAAGTGTTGCACCAAAAACATTATAAATCTTGCTCTTTAATAGACTTCCATAGGACAGCTGCAAGCTATTTTGCCACAAGGACATTGAAAAGAGATACTCACCAGGCATAAAGCAAAAACCTGAAAGCACCCTAAATATCACCACAAACTCTCAAACTCCTCATAGAGCTTGATACCCTTCTCAGTAAGCAAAAGTCCAGCAGCATAATCAAATAAGTCTCTTGGTAGGACCCAAAAGTGAACAAGTTTAGGTTGTAGGAAGCCAAGTTCAGAAGCAAAGCACTTCTGTTGCTAACATCTTCAGCAAAGTTGGATTTAATATTTCAACGAATCTTGATACCGGATAGAGGTGAACTTTCATTCAAGAATTAAAGCTTTTTATTTGAAAACCAATTCTTAAGCAGCACCCAGAAATAAGCAGACAGCAGAGCAGATAACTGTTATTCCTGAGAGAGATCTGTCATCAAGCAGAATGCTCCACAGTCAATCAGCTGTACCTTCCAAAAGGAATTCAAATAGTCTCTCACAAAATACAAACTGACTTAAAGATAGAATGTGATTTGGTGAACCACCTCTGAAAGAGAAAACTTCCTATCTACAAGTTAGAAGCAAATATACTCTTCCTTCTACTGCATGCCTTATTCCTCCTGAAACAGCTGCAAGTTCTGCTGTCTCCTTCCCACACACCTGTCACAGAACACTGCAAATCAAAAAGAAATCCATAGGTTCTAGAGAAAACAGAAAGAATTAACAGAAAAGAAATCCATACCAATTTAAAATGTACAAAGAGAGTAACTTTGGCCAAGGAAATCCTTAAGGTGCAAATTATTAGAGTGGCAGAGTATTCTGGAAAGGGCCACTCTACAGCTGCAGCTTATATTCTTTCCTAGGATGTGCTTTTGACCACTGTTTGAAATAGGATCCCATATTAGGTAGTCAGACTATTGTTCTGAAAATATACCTGTCCATATTTTACTTACTATAGTTACCCATACGTTCACCTCCAACTGCATACCCAAATTACATAGCCATTTTCACTGATACAGCATTGTGAAGGCATGCTAAAACAAGCAAAAACCTTTTAATCTCATTTTTTTCCTCCCATTCTTATTAAGTTCTTTTACTTCTTTCAACAGGGGAGTTCATCCACCCTCTAAAATATATCAATTTGCCAGCAGAAACTTACCACAAGTTCAGAGAACCTGGCATTGAGCTCCTCTGTTGGTGGTATTGGGACAGTAAACTCGAGGAATTGGAGAGGGTTGTTGTCCTTGAGATTGATTTCAGGGAGGTCACTACCCCCAAAGCAACAAAGAAATCCCAGCGCATGACGATTCCTCTTCCTGGGGGCCATGATCATCATGTATGATGCTATCTTCTGATCATGTTCTGCAGGAAGAAGAAAACAAGGGGGAAAACAAGATAAGCAAGAGTCCATTGGATACGTACAGCCCTCTACTGTTACAGTGATCATCACCGGTGTAACAGCAGAATGAGAAGAGAAGGATTTGAGATACAAAGAGCTAAATATGCATTCAAACCAGACAGGATAGCCAAACTTTAACATTCTTAAATAGCAACATAGAATCAACTTCTTCTAAAGTTTGTGAAAAGGTTTTACAAACTCAGCGTGTGACTTTCTAGCAGTTAGAGTTATTAGTAATGATCAGCAGCCAATGCTGAATGCCCATTTTGGCCTTTTGATCACTACTACAGCAGAGGAACCAAAGCATATACTGGAGTATTTACCCAGAAGAAATAGAAAAATCCTCCAAAGATATATCATTTGATGAAGGAGGGAAAAAAAAAAAAAAAAAAAAAAAAAAGCCAAATGCAACAATAACACAACAGCAAAAAAATTGCTTTTTTTCACCACTCTGGAGGCAGACAGCCAAACATTCACTTCTCCCTTTCTGGCCAGGACTATTGCAGCAGGACCATTCAGTTTATCACGTTTTCAAGCACATGTAACTAGCTTGGGTTGCTTTATGTATCCAGTGGAGAAAATGTACAGTGCTAGTGCATGCTTTCAGATTTACATTTGAGCTGCCAGATCCAATCTTGACAGGACCCAGGCTTGAGGGCCTTTGGTATCAGGAGCGTAAAGGGAAGCAAAAGGAGGCTTGAAGGAGGAGTTGGAAAGTGACTGATTTCACCACACAACACCGTTTGTGAGCAGCCCATCCAAACAGGAAGCCTCCTGCCAGTAGTTTGAAAGGAGGGATCTGTGCAGTCCGTAGAGAGCTGCATATTTTGCCCTTTTAAGGGACTTGTTGTTTGACAGCTCAGGGGCTTATTTGTGTTGTATTTTTTAAGGACTTCACTTTTGCACTTAATCTGCAGAATAAGCTATATCCTTAGAGAGTAAATAATTAAAGGCTTTTGCAAAGTCCAGCTCCCTGGGCACTAAGCAGGGAAATGAGGAAGGTGGCAGGTGAACCAAACCACAGGATGCTGGATGCTGTAGCAGCAGCAACACAGCTGTGCTTTGTCATCAGAGCAGTTGCTGCCCTAACCTGCCCCACAATGCTTTTGCCTGTTTGCTTGCCAGAACAAGGCTGCTTTGAGCTCTCACAGAGACTAAGCGGCTGTGCTAGGAAAAGCACCTTTAGGTCAGCAGTTGCATAGTAGGACTTAACATACTGCATTCAGCCAGAAGTTCTCCAAGAAAAACGTGAAGAAATCTGAGCATGCTTGCTAAGGAAAAGAAAAAAAAAAAAAAAGAACAAAAAAAACAAGCAAACAAAAAATAATCCCAACCACTCAAACCTTCATCCTTGTGGCCCTATGGACTGGGCATGACATGCCCAGTGCTGAAACTAACTCATTTAGTGCCTTCTGTTACATGCTACTATGCAGCTGAAATCTGCATTAGATGGTATCAGGCACAGTTCTCCAGCCTGCACTTTCCTTTGCTCTCCACGCCAGCTTTGAAATGGGTAGTATGCCTCACATGGACTCAACAGGGCAGCATCATTACAACCAGCTTCAAAAGCACATCCATTAAATCATTGGATTCTCATGCCAAATGCCAGATAACTCTGGAACCTCATTTTTTATACTGATAGACTGAAAAAAAGCAAAGCATCCCCAATTCTAGCACAATATTGTATACATCCTCCATTTCCCCTCAAAGGAACAGATTTAAGAGACTGAGTTCTTAAAAGATTTCAAAAAAGAAACTCAGAAGTTGACCTTTTCCACTGTTCTCCAACACTGGCATTTTCCAGATCCATTTCTAAGAGGATGCAGGACATGTAACATGGCCCATCTGTACAACACTACAATTCTGTATAGGTTGGGTATCTAGAAGAATTTGAAATACAAAGAATTGAGAACAGCAAAAAAGGAATCTAGCATAGCTCCTTTAGAATTGAATCATTTAAGAAATGTATGACTGAATATATATTTCTAGGTGGGAGGACTGTCTTCCTCAAGATTAACCCTGCCAATCACAAACTGCTGAAAAACATTTGCTTAAGTAAGTTATTATTATGCTATTTAACATTAAGAAATAATTATGTTATTTACTGTTCGTGCTATTTAAGAACTAACTACATCTTCTTAATTTTTATTTGTGGACATAGTTCTGAAGAAAATTAACACTTTCAAATAGCCTCCAAACAATTCTTTTCCTCTTTTTTTCATCTTTTCTTTTTCAAGAATCAAATCTGGGGAGGAAAACTTGCATCCAAAAGAAAAAAATAAAACAAAAAAGAAAAAGATGAATAAGAAGGGAAAAGCAACAGAAACAAAACATCTTCCATTTCTCAGAGTGGTAATTGATAAGCAAGCTATTATAGAAATTATTTTTTAAACTCAGAAAACTAAAAGTAGTTTTTGTATTTTTCTTTTTCCTACAGAAAGATCTATTAGCATTCAACTCTTTATAAATAAAGCAATTGCAAAAATGACACAAATACATGTAATTACATATTTTTAAACACCTCCTGTGAGAATCAGTGGGAAATCTCTCTCTGGAAGGAATCCCACTATTAAACACAACAGCTCTCTCTCTGAGCTCTTCTCGGTTGCACTGTCTTACCCTTTTACACAACACAAAGAACTTGCTGTCATTTCAACAGCCCATCCTTGCCTCACAGTGAGCCCCCTCCTGCTTCCCAGCCTTATTTGTGGTTCGACTCAGGTCAGGAGTCAGAGTCTGGAAGCTGCCCAAGGTCTAATTATAACGTCTTCTTCCTCTGACAGGGTGTGCATCTTCATTTCTAAACCACTTGGCCCAGTGACCAAACATAATTACACTAATGCAATTTTTTCAAGTCTTATCTGAAGGGTTAGCCACATGGGATGGGATCTCTGCTGACTGCACGCAAGGATCCTCTTTCAATTGCAGGTCCTGAATTGTTTTTTCAGTCTCATTCCTTTCTTCATTTTCTCTCAAAAATTACATTTTCCATGCAAAAAATATCCTGAACTGGCAATGTTCAAAAGGGAATGACTGATCTGCCAGTATTTCTCTTGTGCAGGAGAGCTGATTATCATAACTTTTAGCACACTTTCTTCTCCATTCTTCTCCACAGAGAAGGGCACAACTACAACTAAAATAGAAAAAAATGACTTTTGTATCCAACATTTTTGGGAAAACAAAAGAAAGAAAGAATGAAAACTCTGTGGGCTAACTAAACACACACAGGTCTGCAAAACCAGTTTACAACACAAGGAAGCATTAATGGAAACCACTGATTAGCCTCTTCCAGATCAACAGATAAGAAATGTCAGTAAATGCAGGCCAAGCTCACATCTAGGTGGAAAGCACTAGACTGCATATATGCTACAGAATCACTGTCCCCACTGTTTTATTCTAACAGATGAGAAAAGAAAGAAGAAAATTTAAGAAAAAAAAAGAAAAGCCCAATCACTTCTGTTTCCCCAGAAACTGTTCCATATATATCTTTCTCCACACCAGGGTGATATGTATAAATTTGATGCAATATCACATGGAAAATAAAGATGAGGTAATTGGTGATAACCAACACTGCTTCATTAAGGGCAGGCCATGCCTGACAAACTTGGTGGCCTTTTACAATGGAGTTACAGCGTCAGTGGATAAATGAAGAGTAACTGTTATCATCTAGCTGGACTTGCAAAGTGTTTGACACTCCCACACAACATCCTGGTTACTGAATTAGAGAAAAATGGATTTGATGGGTGGCCTACTTGCTGGATAAGGAATTAGCTGGATGGTTCAGCTCAGAGAGCTGCGATCAACAGATCAGTGTCCAAGAAGTGGAGACCAATGACAAGGACATTCCTCAGGGATCAGTGCTGGAACCAGTGTTATTTATCATTTTTGTAGGTGACATGGACAGAGGGATCAAGTGCACCCTCCACAAGTTTGCAGACAACACCAAGCTGAGTGGTGCAGTTGACATGCCAGAGGGAAGGGATGCCATCCAGAGAGACCTGGACAGGTTTGAGAGGTGGGCCCACGCCAATCTCATCAAGTTCAGCAAGGCCAAGTGCAAGGCCCTGCACCTGGGTTGGGGCAATCGCAAGCACAGATACAGGTCAAGCAGAAAATGGCTTAAGAACAGCCCTGAGGAGAAAGATATGCAGGTGTCAATTGATGAAAGACTCAAGATGAGCGAACAATGTGTGCTTGCAGCCCAAAAGGCCAACTGTATCCTGGGTTGCATCAAGAGCAGCGTAGCCAGCAGGCTCAGGGAGGCAATTCTGCCCCTCTATTCTGCTCTTGTGAGATCCAACTTGGAGTACTGCATCCAGTTCTTAAGCCCCCAACACATGAAGGACATTGAGTTGTTGAAGCAGCTGCAGAGAAGGGCCACAAAGATAATAAGAAGGCTGAAGCACCCCCCTATGAGGACAGCCTGAAAGATTCGGGGCTCTTCAGCCTAGACTCTGAGGGGACCTCACAGCATCCTTCCAGTACCTGAAGGGGGCCTACAGCAATGCTGAGGAGGAACTGTTTGTAAGGGCATGAAGCAACAGGACAAGAAAAGAAACCAAAAGAGCATAGATTTAGACTAGATACTAGGAAGAAATTATTTACTGTGAAAATGGTGAAACACTGGAACAGCTTGCGCAGCAAGGGTGGATACCCCCTCCCTGGAGGCATTCAAAGCCAGGCTGGGTGGGGCTTGGAGCAATCTGGTCTAGTGGGAAGTGTCCCTGCCTATTGCAAGGGCTTGGAACTAGATGATCTTAAAGGTCCCTTCCAACCCAAATCATTCCATGATTTTATGCAGTAGAAAGAAACCTGAATCTGAACTTGGAACAGAAATCAACACCAACACTCCAAATCCAAATTAAATTTCTACATTACTCAACTATTTAATAAAACATCAGAATTTTGTGGTATTATAATAGCTACCCTCATCTTCACTTACTGCATGATGAAACCAACAAAA